AGATAAATGATTAATTTAATAGTACTTTTTCGATAATTGTTTATCAACCAAACCTTTTATTTGATGCCAACTAATGGTTAGCTTAATTGAAGAAATTGCTGTAATAATTATTTTACAATCTGGGACTAAGTTGCAAAATCCGATCATTAGAACGAAAGTTATTCAGGGGGATATATATATATTTTTTTTGCGAACAGTACATACACTAAAAACGAATCCTTAATTAGACTGCATATAGCACAAGAACTGGGAATTTAACTTTCCGACATAAAACCTAATTTTAGATTATTAATGATAAAGCGATGAAAAATTAGTTATTAAGAACAGCTTCAAGGCCTTGTTCAATTGCTATTTAATTTACTTTTGAAGATCGGTGAGAAATCAGGGTTGCGGAAGCAGATCCCCTGGTTTCTCAATGTAGATGCCACTGCCTGCGTAGTCGTCCAGTTTTTGAAGATAGACAGTTTATCCCCTTATCAAATTTGTACTCTATAGAAACTTGGATATCCAAAATAAATATGACTACTGAGAAACGAACACAACGTTTATTCAACATAGACAGCATGAGAGGGAATAAAAATAGAAAAAATATGAGAAATAAAATAATTGGCACAGCGCCATCTATTGATATAACTTTAAACATAAATTTTAGACATTGTTTAACACTCTCCACCATGCATCCATATATTGGATGCATTAAATATTCATTGCACTTCTAGATTATACAGTCTTTCAATGTCTTTTTTACAACATTATTTTCTATTGAATCTCCCATGATCTAATTTTCCCATCTCTACCTGCAAACAAATTTTTAATCCTTCCTAATTTCCAATTATGGCGCTTAACATTATCTTCGTTCCCGAGAACAACATCATCAATTTTATAAGTATTAAAATTTTTTGTTTAGATTACATTTGTTGTTTAGAAAACATAACAAATCTTAACTCTAATAGATATTCCTTAAAAAAAATTTCCAGAAATGATCCAACAATAGTAATCTATATTTCCACTTTTTAGTTAATTCCACCTTATTTGACATTAAATTAAGATTATTTGGAGTAGATAAAGTCGTTAAACATGACCCAACAGTAAAATGTGAAGGAGTTAAGGGGTCAGGCTCATTTAAATCATTGTTAATAACCGATTCGACTTCAGTTAATACAGTAATTAGTTCTTCATAACAAAGAGAAGTTGTACCTAAAACCTTTTTTAAGCAATTTTTAACAGATCGAACAAGCCTTTCCCAAAAGCCTCCCCACCATAGGGCACCTTCTACAATGAATTTCCATTCTAATTGATGTTTCTCTAAGAAGTTAAACACTTCATCATTTTTACACATTTTATACAATTACTTAAGTTCTTTATCGGCAGATTTAAAAGTTTTAGCATTATCAGAGTATATAACTTTACTAATACCTCTACGGGCAAAAATCGTCTTAATGATTGCAAAAAACATTCAGTACTTAAATTAGATATTAGTTCTAAATGAATATTACGAGTAACAGCGCATGTAAATAAACTTATATATATTTTAGAATTATCCTTTAAATACAATGACCCTTCAAAATCAGTACTAGTTATCTCAAATGGTTGAGATTTCTCTACTCTATCAATAGGTAAAGCTAAAATAATTTCATTACCCCCTTTAGCTGTAAATTTTTTACAAATTCTACAATTATACAAAATAGATTTAACAAATTGTCTCCCTTTTAAAATCCAAAACTTACTTCTTACCTGAATTAAAGTTTCATTAACACCATTCTGTAATACTTTTTCATGACAATCATAAACAATTAATTTTGCAAAATAATCATTAGAAAGAACAATTGGACATTTTTCATACACATCTAAAGATGAATTAATTAATCTAGTTTTCACTCTTAGAATACCTTTATCATCTAGCATAAGATTAACATTAGCTAATTTACTATTCTTATCTACACATTTATTTTGTTTAAGATTTTGGATTTCTGAATAAAAATTCTGTGCTTGAGTTATTTTAATCCAGTATTCCCAAGATTTTTCAGTTTCCTGTATAGAAATCGGACCGGTGCACTTTTGTTTTGTCTTCAGAATATTAATAAATCTGAAAACGTAGGTTGTAACAGGCACTAATTTTCGAATTTTACTGAACTTAGAAATGTAAAAGATAGGTTGAATTTCACAATTTTAAACAACAGGTGTCACATCATATCTTTCTTCATCACAAGAAGAATGTAATGCGATTTCCGAATAATTTTTATCAGGCCAGTTTTCTTCTGATTCGGATAACCAAGAAGGACCATAGGCCAGCGCATTGTCGCACACTAAATCTTTGATTTTTACACAACAGGTTATCTTGTCAGCCGGATTATCACTGCCTGGACTGTGATACCACATTTCTGGAGATATACTTTCTTTAATTTCACTGACACGATTTTTCACAAAAGTTTTCCAATGATATGCTGATCCTCTCATCCAGATGATCACAGTTGAGCTGTCAGTCAATAGACGAGCTTTTGTATCAGGAAATTGCTCCAGCAAAACTTTCAACAATCGCACTCCAATAACTGCAGCCATGAGCTCCAACCGAGGCAAAGTCATTTTCTTTAAAGGAGCTACCTTTCCTTTGGATAGAACAAATGCTGTTCGAATTTCATTAGAAACGGTGAATCTCAAATAGATAACAGTTCCTTGTGCAGTTTGTGAAGAATCACAGAAATCATGTATTTCTAAACTCTGTGGAGTCTCTCTAGATCGAAAATACCAACGTGGTATATTGACTTCACATAATCCTTGTAGTTGATTGTTGTACCAGCAGTTCCAATTGGCTTTTATTTCTTCTGGCACCGGTTGATCCCAATCAATGCCATCTATCCAGAGTTTTTTAAACATAATTTTTGCTTGAATGGAAAATGGCGACAGGTAGCCCAAGGGATCGAAGTCTCGATGAAATTTGAAGAATAGTTCTTTTGGTCAGTTTCTTTTCTGGAGGAGTATTCACAATATCATCTGGTGAGTATGTAAAACAATCATCTGTTGAAGAGTATCTCAATTCAAGTACCTTTGATGAAGCTTCAGAAATATTTAATTTTAAAGTTTTACTTTCTGAGAGAAATTCTTTCTATAATTCTTCCGAATTAGAGTTCCATTTGGTTAAATTCATAGATGCTTCCTTCATAATTGTTTTAGCTTCATGATAAACTTTGACGAACCTCGTCTTCTGAGTCTACTCCGGTAATAAAATCATCGACATATAAGGAATTCTCCAGTAGTTGAACTGTCTTAGGATAAATATCTCGAAATTTCTTCAGATGATGCTTAATACAGGCAGCAAGCAAAAATGGACTTGGCTTGGATCCTAAAATTAGTCTACAAAATCGGTACACAGCAACTTTAGGATTTTGTAAATCCGAATCATCATCAAGCCAAAGAAAACGCTGTCTGTCCTCTGGAGAAATGGAAATTTGATGAAATTCCTTCTCTATATCCGACGTCATAATTATTCGATATTTTCTAAAGAATTTTTAGTTAATCCGGTAAAAAGCTCGGTCCATCTAAAAGGCAGTCATTAAGAGAATTGCCTCTTTTTCCTTTTGATGAAGCATCATAAACAATCCTTAACTTTGTAGTTGCATGTTCCGGCCTTATCACTGCATGATGAGGAATATAATATATATCATGTCACTGAATTTTGAATCATCGCCAATTTTTTCAATTAATTTTTCCTTCAGTTGCCTTTGAATAACTTCTTTATATTCTTCATTTCTTCCTAAATGTTTGCAACAGTTTGAAAAAACTAAATTTTGCATTTTTATAATTAACTTTAAGTTTTATTTTTTCTTCCTTCCTCGGTAATTTATTTTCATATCTCTTTTCCATCTGAGTGATTGATGAAGAAAATAACTCTAAAGCTTTTTTTGTTTCTTTTTCTTCGCAGATATTTTTTTATTCCAATTGGTTCGGTTTCCCAAAACATTTTCAACGATTCGTTTATACTCATATTTTCTTCCAAGGTCAGATTAGTCATAACATTCGTCAATTCATTACAGTCTGAGGAGGGAAATTTCCTTTGTACACACCATCCGCGAATAGTTTCAAGTGCCACCGCAGAATAATTTATTCTTTTAATTCGATCATTACTAATAGACCACAATATGTCGGCGCCAAACAAAATTGAAAATATTTCACTCATAAATCTAGAGTCACTCCACTTAGGCTCTAATAACGTTATTCCAAGTCTCTTCAGTTTATTTTTTATTTGATTACTTTGCTTTTTTATGTTCGCTGATGTAATCACTGAAACTTCGAGGAAATCAAAAGTGATACTTTTCTCAGGGTCATTAATACTTCTTAAAGTTAATTCTACATTTTCGTTTTTATATTTTTTCGAGTGATTTTCACCAAATATATGAATTTGCATTTCTTTTTCTCCTTTTACTTTTAAATTTAATTTTCTGGATAATTCTTCAGTAATAACAGAAATTTGAGAACCTCCGTTAATTAAACATCTTACAAAACAATGATTTTGAGGTCCTTCTGCAATAGCATTTACAGTTTGTAAAACTATATTAGATCCAAATTTAGAAGAAGAATTTTGACTTACTTCTGTTTTTGGCTCCTTCTTTGTCATTCAAATCCCATTTAAAACAAATTGATTCGTGATGTTTTCCTCTGCATTTTTTACACTAAAATTTATTTCTGCATTCAGTGGACATTCTTCCGAAACATAAAAAACACCTTCTAAGGAATTCTAGCTTCTTTTCAATATCCAAAACACTTTGAATGATTTTCACAGTCACAAAAAATGCATCTATAATTTATTGTTGACAAGGCGGATTCAGTTTTCCAGGCTTATTCCGATAAAAGTTTGATTTTCCCTTCAGCTCAAATCTTGATAAATCTTGGCTATAATTGTTCTTCGTGTAACTAACTAAGCTCACCGCTTCACGACAGTTGATTTCCTTTTTCAAATAGCTCATAGTTTCTTGTATATCAAATTCTTTTTCTAATTTCCGACGTCAATTGAATTCAAAATTCAATTCTTCTGGAAGCTTCTGCTGAATAATTGGGCATAATAAATTTCCATAACTTCCTGCAGTTACATTTAATGATGACAGGCTTCTTATTTGTATTTCACACTCATCATATAGCCTTCTTAGTGCTTTTAAGTTGGAAACATTTCGAATAGGTTCAATAGCGAGAAGTTTCGTCATGTGAGAGCTTATCACAATGTCCGTTCTTCCAAAACGCTCTTTCAGAATCTCGATAGAGGAATCATAATTCAGATCACTAATGGCAAATCCAGATATAGATGCGAGAGCGCTTCCTCCAAGCAAGGATTTCAAATATGCACATTTTTCAGTCTTTCGTAATTCGTTGTTGTTATGAATAGCTGTTTCAAATTGATTATAAAAATCCAACCATTTGGTAGAATCTCCGAAAAATGTTCCTATTTGCAGACGAAGTAGATTCATTATTTTTGAATCAGTTTCAACAACGACAGTGTCGTTTCTATCACTTTCGATATTATCTTTTTGAATTAGAAGAATCTCGATTTAAAAATCTCTGAATCCTACCTTTCCACTACCTTATCACTAGACAGCGGATTATATGCACTAAAAAACGGACAAAATATGCATGCAAATATGCACTAAAAAACTTGAATATATGCTCTTAAAACTAGAAATATGCATTTAAAATAGAAATTAAAAGTTCAACTTATTTAAATACTACTACTTACTTTTTCCAACAAACACAGCTAAAACATTTTTTTGTTAAAAGGAAGAAAATCAAAATATTTCTTACTTGAATCTACACATTTCTGAAGAAAAAGCCTAAAACTGAAGTATGATAAATGAGAGAAGAAAAATCATCGCATTTTCCGGAAAGATTTTATTAAACTGAATAATTTTTGTTGCAATACACAACTAAGTGTTTTTCCAAATTTTCAAGGGTGAATTGATGTCGTCGGTCATCAAAGATCATTTTGAAAGCAGAAAATGACCTCTCCACGTCAACCGATGTTATTGGACAAAACTTGTACAATTTCGTACTCATTGGTTTTACTTTCTCTGGAAGTTCAGTTCCGTTTCCATTAAGAAAATCATTTATCTTCTTCACTGCTGCAAAACCCGAATTTTTGTTTTGAACGAAACACCATTTTTCTTTTACTTTCTTCCCAACTGAGTCTGGAAGAGCATTGATGCATTCTTGAATTTTTTCAATTTCGGATATGGCCTCAGCCAGGGGAAGACCTCGTGTTTCGAGCTTTGTTATTGCTCCACTTAGAAAGAAAAGTGAGTGTCAATTATGGCCAAGTCCTTCTGCAAAGAGATATCCTGTAGTAATTCTTTTGTGACATGAACTGAGTAAGCACAGAAAGTGTCAATTGCATCTACAACTGACTTTATTGCATCAAAATTATTAGTGTAAGAACGTGCAGCTTCAATCCATGTACCCCACCTAGTTATCACAGGCTGTGGAGGTAAAGGCAAATCAGGATACATTTCTTTATACAATTTTATGCGCACAGGTGCCTTGAGAAAAACTTTCTTGATACTAGAAATGAAATCATTCAGCTTCTCGAACAGTCTCAGCCAGTCTGTGAACAGCATGAGCCAAACATGTAATATGAAGCATTCTGGGATAAAAAATTTCCAGTGCTGCTGCAGATTTGACCATATACGGAGCGGCATCACTGACAAAAATCAAAACATCTTCAGAACCATCTCTATCAGACCATAATAATCTGATAGAATCATTGACAAACCTTACTGTGGTTGAATGATTGACTTTTTCAAGGGCTTTGCTTGCTAGAAGATGTGGTCGAGTAGGAATATTATCCATTTTTCCACAAATAAAATGAGCAATGTAGCGACCGCATTTATCTGTCGTCTCATCGACTTCAATCCATATAGAGCCATCTCCAATATCTCGTCGAATATCATCCAATACTTCGTTATATATCTGTTGAAGGTAGTTCTTTCATAAAGTCGATTCATCGGGAATGATCTGATTGGTACAATATTTTTTTAAAAACTGTCTTAAGTTTGGATAATTTAACTTTTTTAAAGGAATATTGCTGCTTACTAAGGCTTTGCATAAATCACTAGAAAAATCACTTTCCTTTTTAGCTGCTTGAACAGGAATAAACTTTGAACAAATCCTTTTGTATTCTGCTTTTTCTTTGCAGAGTGAGCATTAGTCTTTATATGTTGATCGATTTGGTACTTTTTTTCACAGGAAATGTGTTTTTGACAAATCACACAAAATACTATTTCCCCATCGGTCGCAAAGTCCTTCCCATGGTCCGAAATCCATGTCTTCATTAAATTTGATTTAGTCGACTTAATTTTTGGCATATTATAAAATTCGGCAGTCAAAAATCACGTTCGAAGCTTCACTAACTACGTATTCAACTGATGGATGTCGAAATTATCTATCTATTAGATGGAATTATGTTCGAATTATGTTAGAATAGCAGCTCTCGCCGAAAATGTATTCACTCCACCTTTTAACTAATCAATCACAGGAAAGGGAGGTCATTTTCTACCTACCAACGAAGCCTTATTTTTCCCACACAGATTGACAATTATTTATTCCAGGAAAAGACATCCCTTCATAGAATATCTGACCATCCCTTTCTGAGGTTTCTATGACGAATGTCTGCTTGGGTGAGCCCTTTGTATCCCCCCTCCCGACACACACCTAATTTCTACATCTTTTTCACGTGATTGACCCCCAGCAACATCAATCCAGCTGACCATTTCAGGTGATAAAGAACGACAAAACAAAATTTAAAGCGTTCCTTATGCTAACATAAAAAGAATAGTTAAAAGCCATGAAATTCTGAAAATATGCATTTATAAGAGCAAATATACCTTTTTATGCATTTATATGCACAAATGGCAAAAAGTACTAAAATATGCAATTGCATATGCACGTATGCAATTGCATATTATCCGCTGTCTACTTATCACTATTTTTTCTTGATATTCCTGACAGGTGGTTATTTCGTTTTCGAACGCCTGTTCAGCAACACTGTATTCCAGTTTTTCATCCAATTGTTTTAATTCCATAATTTTTGCATTTAATTGCTCACTTAAATCCAATAAAAGTTCTGCTAATTCAGCGTCCTGCGATTCATCTGCCAAACTCGCTTCTATTTTCGATATTAATTTAGTAGTTAGCTGTCTAACCACAGTTCGTTTCATTTTTTGATTCCCTACCTTTTCTTTCGTAGCCATTATCCTAAATTAATTTATTCAAGTATTCTTCCAAAAATTTTCGATTCCATAAAAAGTCCCCTATTTCGGCAACATATCAAATTTGCACTGTAAAGATATTTGGATATCCAAAATAAATATGACTACTGAGAAACGAGCACAACATTTATTCAACATAGACAGCACAAGAGAAAATAAAAATATAACAAACATGAGAAAGAAAATAATTAGCATAGTGCCATCTATTGATATAACTCCAAACATAAATTTTAGACATTATTTAACACCCCTGGCTTCTCAATGTAGATGCCACTGCCTGCGTGATCGTCCAGTTAAATGCCGTCCGTAAAAATTTTTATGTCATTTTCGGGGATCTTTTTTATGATTTCTAAAGCCAACTGTCAGAGATGAGCTGGAATGAAGAGCTTCTTGGTGAACGCGGTAGTAAAATCGAAGTGAAAATAAACTCTTGTGAGTCCCTCGGAGGAATGTAGACAAGTTTTTAAGGAGTGGGCCTCAATTTCATTATAAGGCAAACACAGAAGCTTAGCCTAACTGAAGAAGCTGTTTTTCTTAAGTCTTTGATTGTTACTCCAGTTGTTTAAATATAGGGATGTTCTATTATGCTGATCGTAGCTAGAAAGTTTGTTATAATATTTGGTAAGGTTGGCCTTTCTTCTAGTTAGGAGAGGTTGTAAATTAGCCTCATAGAGAACTACTTCTCTCAGGCAGCTGCGTCTTAGTCCAGTAATAATTCTAGCAGTACTGAATTGAACCTTCTCCAATTTACCCAAGTTGGTGACTGAGGCACAGTTATAAACAGGGAAACCGTACTCTAAGATGGGCCTAATTAATGTCCCCCCTTCTGGGCCTAGATTTCCTTAAGGGTCAACAGTCTGATGGATCTTGTCTGACTTCGTCAGACATTTGGAGGATAAGCTACAACAACGATGACAAATCTTCCTTCCTCTAATTCTGAGACAGGTTGCTATTTGGTGATTCCTTATTTCATTGCTTATCTTATTTGCATTTTTAAATCATTATTTTTATGGAGTCAAGTAATTCCTTAAATGCTGATATATTTAATTAGAAGTATCTCTAGTAATATTTAGGATCTTACAGCAACATCATTAGGTATAATAATTCTTTTTATGTGAGGGCAAACATCAGCTATTTTAAAACTTCTCTCTAGTTAAATTGCAAATTTAATATTCCAAAAAATTTTGCTGAAAGGCAGTTTCAAGTAAAAATATTTTTAAATGAAGTATTCTAAAATGAAAATGTAAAATTCACAATTATTTTATGATTTAATTAATATTATATTAGTATTATTTTTATTAATATTGTTTTCACTAAATTAACAATAAATGAAATCACCCTACAACTTTAATTAGCGAATCGTTAATTCTTTTTTTAATTCTGTAATTTCACTTTCGTAAATGTTTTTTTTTATTTCACAAAAGAACTTAGAATATTTTTTCATTCAAAAAAACAGTGTTATAAAAATAGAGTTATACAAAAATACGCATAATTTAAACCTTATTAAAAACAGTTATTTGTTTTTTACTATAATACCCATCGTAAAATTCATTCACTTGTCAATAGTATCCTATTCAATTACTATATTTTCAGAAGAAAAAAAAACTTTTGTACTCAAATGAGAATTAAAATTCATCCATAATTTTAAAATCTTGAGAGAATAGTAAAACTCAAAAACTAAACTGGCTTCATCTTTGCAAAGCATTTTTATATTATTTATTATATTTCTCTCATTTGACAATTTGCTCTTTTTGGGATAAGCTGTTAAAACAACAGTTTTTATTAAATTTAAAATATATTGGACTGGCCGGAATTACGAAAGGTATAATATTGGATAATAAAGATAAGTAAGTGACAGAAAAAAAAATGCAATAATTGTGTTTGTCGCTCATATAAAGTTGTCTCATACTTTAGTGATCAAATTTCACTCATATAGTTTGTCTATAGAAAGAACTCCCCTCGCCACAAAGTCTAAGGCCGCCTGCTTGTATGGAAAGAAGAAATAGTGCATTTTAAAGAGGGGAGCATCTTTCTTCCTTCATTCTCTTTCTCCTACCAGCCGACTCTGTCTTAAATAATGACCCAATTTACCCTTGAAATAGTTGAATCTCGTAACCATAGTCACCACCACCACTCCAGATGAATGGCTATGGAGAGCTCAATCTACATCTGGAAAATCCTCATGCATTTGAGGGTGAATGGGTAAAGGC